CACACACACACACACACACACACACACACATACACACACACCCCTTTAGTTTGATTCCGTAGAGTATGTTTATAATGCATCTCCCTCTTCCTAGTAAGACGAATATCTATCTCAGTCTGTGTTGGCACTTACAAATAATGTTGGAGCAGTCCACTTCCCAACTTGTTCCGATGGGAGCGTGAAACCTCTACATTGTTGACGAGCCTTTGTCCCTGCTATAACCGACTGGGCTCAGATGGGGCCCTGTTATTGCCGATAACTTTTAATAAAGACAAAGAGTAGGAAAAAACGGGGATTTAAAAAATTCGTTATTACCGGATCCCTGTTATTACCGGGCCTGTTATATACGGTTTCCACGGTACAAACATTTACAATACAACGTCATTGTCATGTACTAATCCAGCCTTTTTGCCTCCTGTGCAATTATTGACAGTCTCACCTGTCCATAACGACTCTCTACCTCTGCCTCTTTTGTCAATGGAAAAGCCTAAAGGTTTCTTTCTGCCTCTTGCTTTTCCAGCCATCAAGCCTGAGGGGTCCAGTCTGACATGTGAAGGAAGCCAGTACGGCTGCTGTGCCGACGGGAGGTCTTATGCCAGGGGCCCCAACAAAGATGGCTGCCCTGAGAAGAATCTGATTGGTGGATGTGCCGGAACCAGGTATGACATGAGACAATAAAAAATCGCGTTATTTGAGATAAAGCTCCGTCTTTTCTTCCTCCTCCTTTATGCCGTCGTTTGTAGTTTTCGTCGTCCTCCTTTTCCCCGTCATCTTCTTCGTCCAATGAGTGGTGGGATGGGGTAGGGGAGGGCTCTGATGTGGTTTGCTCCTTCTTTCCAGTAAACATGTATCGTCTTTATCTCTCCACCTTTTTTTTCTTCGTAGGTTACTCTCTAATAACATCTCTAATCTTCGGTACTTAAGTTACATGACCACCATTCGTGCTGCAGGTGCCGTAACACGTTTACCAGAACAAACTTACCCGTCCTCGTCTCTCTCTCCTCCCCTCGTACTTCTCCTCTTGTTCCTTCTCTCATCCTTTCTTTCCTCCTACGGAGGTGTCTAGTCTGAGAACAAAAGTCAAACACACGAGCATATCTCTTAGTAAGTTTGTTTTGTTTTTTTACCTCGGGAAATAGTGCATAGTATGCATGACGTGTAAAATAATTTGTTGGTTTAAATGAAACGTCGTATGTGACCCCATACGTTAATTTAGAATTTGATTAGTTTTTGTGTCTAAATCAATCTGTGCTATTAGCTCAATCTGTACTTTTCTAAATAGTAAACATTCTTTAAACCGCCAGGCTTCTTGACCCTCGTCAAATCGGAAATGAGTTCTGACCTTACCGTGTTGATAAAGACTTTAAACCTGTAAAAAAAAATTAAAAAATAAAACCAAACAACAAAAAACAACAATCCTCTGCTTCCTTTCCCCAGACATGGCTGTTGTGAAGATGGCGTCACTTCTGCGAGAGGGCCAGAAAAAGAAGGATGCCCTGAAAAACGTCTGGTCGGTGGTTGTGCGGGCACTAGACACGGCTGTTGTGAAGATGGAGTCACTTCCGCTAGGGGACCGGAAAAAGAGGGCTGTCCTGAGCGTCGTCTGGTTGGTGGATGTGCAGGCACCAGACACGGCTGTTGTGAAGATGGCGTCACTTCTGCGAGAGGACCAGAAAAAGAAGGATGCCCTGAGCGTCGTCTGGTTGGTGGATGTGCAGGCACCAGACACGGCTGTTGTGAAGATGGCGTCACTTCCGCTAGAGGACCGGAAAAAGAGGGCTGTCCTGAGAAACGGCTGGTCGGTGGTTGTGCAGGCACCAGGCACGGCTGTTGTGAAGATGGAGTCACTTCCGCCAGAGGACCGGAAAAAGAAGGATGCCCTGAGAAACGTCTGATCGGTGGATGTGCAGGTTAACTATAATATCATCATTTCAATTGTATACAACGTTACTGTTTTTAAAGAAAATAATACTCTGATTTTTCAACACGTTTTCTTTTGTATGTGAATCATAACGTTATATTGCCGCCCCGCCCCCCCTCCCCCGGAAAAACCCGCAAAAAAGAGAGAAAATAACCTAGCAAAATCTTACATTACCCTTTGACGAGAGGCTCCCTGAAGAGCGTGCCAATTGATTTGAAAACTACAGGGGAAAATTTGTCATGTCACTGTTGCAAGTTAAGTAAAGCTTTAGATCCTTAGACTAAACACACTTTTTTCATCTGTAAAATTATTAGAGTTTGCTGTGTATTAATGTTGAAATAGTCATGTTTTGGTAATTTTAGACAGGTTTCCTCGTTGTCTACCTCTTTGCGTTGCACAGTTGGGATTTGAGGGAAAGGCCTATTATAGTTCCCTTAGTCTTATTCTATTGTTTACTCAAGATAAAGTTACTCTCCACTGAAGACACTACATTCGTGCTTAATACTCCATTCACAATAAGCCGTATCAGATGAAATTATGCTTCAACACTCAAACAAAAGCAAGCAAACAATGGGAAACCTTGGTTAGCCCTGAGTGACAGATTTGAACAAAGCGTCCTCAGGTTGCTTTCTGGGGTCTTCAAAGGCCTTAACCCATTAGGCAGTCTAATGAAGACCAAGATCTGTGGCTGGTCATTAAACGTCAACGTTTGAGCCAGAGATGACACTTCCAAGTATTCCAGTTATTCGAGATGGGCATTAAATTCAAAAGTCCCGCTTCGTAAATCGCCTAGAAGTGTTTAAAAGGGCCTTAAACCTAAAGATATTCTTAAATTGTAAGTGTTTATACGCCTCTGTAAACACAATTTCGATCATTTAGGAGGCTGGCTTCAGACCTTACCTATCATGACCAACCTGTACCAAGAAGGATATAACATCCCAACAGAAAGACCGACATACTCGATGAAAACGTCTTCCCACTCTCGCATCGAACTCAAGTCTCCTGCATGAAAAAAAGCGAAGCGCCTAACCGCTACATCACAGACGCCAGTCGCTAAATCTATCCGCGTATACGAGGTGTCCATTGGGGGATCGGGTCTGGTCGGGGCAGTTTACTAGCCAGATTGAGGGTGCAAAGCGGCTATAGTGGCACAAGCCGATCGTGCCCGACTCGTCGCCTCGTTTGTTTTCAGGCGACAAGTGGGGCGATCGCCCCCGACCCGACCCGATCTCATCCGCAATGGGTACCCCTTATAACTTTTTATTTGTCTCAGGTACCCGTTTCGGCTGCTGTAATGACGGCGTGTCCGCAGCCAGGGGAGAGAACAACCTGGGCTGTGCAGAGAACCCGTACGGAGGGTGCAGTGTCTCCGAGCATGGCTGTTGTGAGGACGGGGTCACTATGGCTAAAGGTAGATACATTGTGTGTGGATGTTCGTCTGCATGTATGTCAGAACTTTTCTTTCGCCCTATACATCTATTAATTTTTGTGTTATGTATATGTGTGTGTGTTTGTCTGTGTGTGTATGAATGTGTGTGTT